AGAATGGGTCTTGGGGAAGCTCTTGGGATGACCCTGGGCCCTTTACATGGCTCCACCTGCCACGGATTTTGGAGTTTTCCCAGGAAAAAGGTCTCAAGCAGGGCTCAGCAGGGCACAGCAAGGAGATCCTGCTGTCCACCCTCCCCTCAGCTTCATGCTGAGCCCGTGCTGGGCATCTGATCCCTGGGATTTATAAAGCAAACGAGCCAAGGAATAACTCTGGGGAGCAGTGGGAGCTCGGAGCTCTCCCACTTCCCTGTGCAGCCCCCAAGGAGAGGGGCGGGAGCACCTAAAACTCCCCTTCCCTCCCCAGAACTGATTTTAAAGCTGGGAGGGATGAGATGTTTGTCAGGAGTGCTCCTGCTCCCAGGCCACTGTGTCACTGTGTGTTTTTCCTTGGAATATTTGCAAGGCCACGCTGCAGGAGCTGGCTCAGGGAGGGACACTCAGAATCCCAGCCCTGGACTGGCACCTTGGGCAGCCCAGGGAAGGGGGAGATGCTGGGGGTGGCCCTGGATGTGAGGCTGGAATTACAGAGGGGCTGGAATTACCCTGAGGCTGGAATTGCAGCAGGGTTGGAATTGTAACTGGGCCGGGATTGCAGTGGAACTGGAATTGTACTTGGGCTGGAATTGCCCTGGACCTGGGATTGAAGTGGGGGCTGGGATTGAATTGGGGCCGGCATTGTCCCGGGCCGGCACTGTCCCGGGCCAGCACTGTCCCGGGCTGGCACTGTCCTGGGCTGGCATTGTCCCAGGCCGGCACTGTCCCGGGCCGGCTCCGTACCGGATCGTCAGCTGGTCCTGGCTCAGCTGCTTGAAGCGCCGGTGCAGGTGCTCGATCTGCTCAGAGGTGACTGCAGGGAAAGGAGAGAGGTGACAGGGGCTGAGCCCCGGGGGACCCCTGGGACACCCCCCTGTGCCCGTCCCCACCCCCCAGCAGCGTGGCAGGGTCCTGGGCACCCTCTCCCTGTGGTGGCTCCGTGCCGCCCTGCACGGTCCCTCTGTGTCCCTGTGCCCGCTGCCGGCTGCAGGGACGGTGCCAAGGGCTGCGTTATTCCCTGCAGGGAATTCCCTGGCCCGGCACAGTGGGATCCCACCCCCAGCTCAGGATCCTTGGTGCCAGCCCACTGGAACAGGCTTGGCATTTCTTTTGGGATCACTGGCGCCGTGGGCAGAGCTGTGCCCAGGCAGCTCCTCTGTGCCCCAGGACAGCTCTGCCTGGAGCCAGGAGGCTCCTCCATGTCCACAGCCATGGCTGCTGCAGGAAAGAACTCTGGGATCAGAAATCCTGACAGCAGCCACCTTGCCAGGGGAGAGGAAAGGACACGGAGGGGGCACAGCAGCCCCCAAAATCAACACCTGCCTTTGAAATTGCTGCCACTGCCCAGGGTGAGCCACAAGCCATGGGGTGGGCACTGCCCCAGGGATGCACCAACCCCACCCCAGGCAGGGCTGCAAGGGGGGACCAGCAGCTCCTTTGAGTCCCCTGAGTGCTGGGGCCCAGCTGCACCTCCCCAGTGCCCTGATCCCCCAGCACAGGCGAGTTCATCTTCCCCTGCTGTTCTCCTGGGGCTGTAACCAAGCTCTAACCCCCAGAGCCTGACTCTTGTGCAAATATTGTCAGGGGCCATTCCCAGGAGCCAGGGAAGTGCTTTGGAGCCGTGTCTCTGGGATCTGGGGGGTCTGTCTGGGCTCCAGCTGTGCCCACAGGCTCCTGCAGCCCTGGCTGGGAATCAGCCACTCCTGGCACCATGGAGAGACAGAAAACCACGTTAAGGGTTGCAAAGGGTTAATTGCAGCAAGACAGCAGGGTCAGAGCTGGGCTGAGCTGCCTCCCTCACTGCCTTTTATGATGTTTAAATAATGTCCTTTGCTTTCCCCAGTGCTGCTCCACAGCCTGGAAATAGCAGCTGCATTGATCAGCGGGGCTGGGCCTCCAGAGCCTCTGTTAACAGCCTGGGAACCCTTCTGGGCTGGAGGGAGCAGGGGCCCTGAGCCTGCCCGGGTGTCCCCAGGATGCCCTTCAAACCCCTTACCCCCCTCGGCCCCGCTGGCTCCCAGGTGATGGTGCCCAGGCCCCCCTGATCCATCCACTGGACGTTTCCTCCCCCAGTCCCTCCTGGCTGCTGCTCTGCTGCTGTCCCATGGAAACTTTCCCTGGACTTTGCTTTCCAATTTTGGCCCTGCAGCAGTGACCTTTCACCCTCTGCGTGACGCCACCGCCATCACCATGGGAGCAGCTGGGCCACCAAGCCTCAGCATCTGGGGCTTGGGTGCACACCAAAAAGCTTTGATCTCTCAGAAAAACGTCCCAGGCACCAAGAGGACAAAGAGCTGGGGTCAGTGGCTGGGTGCTCATGGTTGGGCTGGCCCTGAAAGGCTGGATGAGGCTTTTCCTGCCTCTTTCCCCATCCCAGGTGCTCCTCTTGGGGCAGCTCTCCCAGCATCGCTCTGCCTGTAAAGGTGGCAGAGCTCAGCTGCTTTCCAGAGAAAAAAAGGAAAATCTGCAGAAAAGGCAAAAGCTTTGCTGGAGAAAGGGCTGGCTCAAGGGCAGCAGAGGCTGCTCGTGTCCCTGAGAAGCATCCTGATGCTGCAGGCCCGTGTCCAAGCACGGCAGCCTCTGCCAGTGGGGGGAAAATGGGATTTAAACCACAGGCAGCCGGGCTTGCTGCTCCCAGCCTTGTGTGGTTTGTGCTGCTTGAGCGAAGGGAAAGGGGCACTGGGGGGGCTCAGGGGCACTGCGGGGCTCAGGGGCACTGTGGGGCTCAGGCCTCCCGTGGGAGCAGCCTGGCTGCAGGGATGGTCACAGCATCCCGGGAACAGCCACCTCACCCCGGACAGACACTGCAGCAGCTTTGGGATGGAGCACACGCAGGGGGGGAGGGGAAGCGGCCCCGAGCAGGGTGTCCCTCCACGGGGGAAGGCAAAGGAACGAGCCGTGGGCACCTCCAGGAGGCTGTGCCTGGTCCCTGCCCCTCCCACGGCACCGAGGGTGGCTGCAGTGCCCTGGTGAGGCCGGAGCCCGGCAGCAAGGCTGTAAATCCCCTGAATCCCCGGGATTCTGGCAGCAGCCACAGGACAGGGGAGCTCTGTGAATACCACGGGGAGCACAGGACGGGCACCCCGGACATGCTGGGAGTTATGGGCTCCTCCTGCCCTCCCTCCTCTGGTTTCCACGAGATTTTTGGGTGTTGCCCTCGCAAACCCTGCCCTGGGGTTGATCCACGGGGCACCGGGGAGGAGCCTCCCCCGAGCAGGTGCCACCTGTGCCCGAGATGCTGCTGCAGGGACCCCGGGCCAGGGCGCTCCCCGAAATCCTCCTCCAACCCTGGGCTGCCAGGCTGGCACCCCGCGGGCTCCCCAAGCTCCTGAGTCCGCCCGGGGGACTCAGTGGGGTGCGGGGGGCTCAGCCCTCCCTGGGAGAGGAGAGGAGAGGAAGAGGGGATGAAGGGAGATGTGACCCCAGGAGCAGCAGCAGCACTGGGGACAGTCACCGGACCCTCTCGGCCCCCACAGATCCTTTGGCCGTGGGCAGAGCCGCCCCCCAGCCCTTCCTCCACCGCAGCGCTCAGCGCGGCCGCAGCTGGAGGATCCAGGCGGGAGCTCCCGGTCCCCGTGCCCGGAGCTGCCGCGTCCGGGAGCGGTGACACTTCCCAGGACGGACACGGCCACCCTGTCCCTCCCTGCAGGGAGCCCTGGGCCGTGTCCCTGCCCCTTTCCCTGCTGGTCCCTCGATCCCAAAGCAGCCCCGGGGGTGTCGCGGCCCGGTGGCTCCGGGGCAGAGCAGCCCTGCGGGGACAGTGCCCTGCTCGGTGGCGCGGGTGGGCAGAGCCCGCCTGGGGCTCGCACGTGTGGCCGCTCGACGCCCTGGCTCGTGGCGTGGTGGCAGCGGGGACACGGCTGCACACCCCGGGTGACATGCTGCCACCCTCTGGTGACAGTCCTACCCCCTCCTTTCTTATCCCCTGTCCCCTCCCCCCCTCCATCCCCCGGTGTCACATCCTGCTCTCCCCAGCCCAGGTGACACCTCTGCACCCTCCCGAGTGACATTCCCTGCATCCTCCCCGCGGGTCACACCACATGTCCTGCATCCCCTGCCCCGCCCGAGCGTCACCTCCCGCAGCCCCGCGGCCACCCAGGTGACATTTCCTGTGCGTCCCCCCTCCCTTCCCCCCCCTCCCCGGTGACACGTCCCGCACCCCCGCGGGTGATGCGTCCCCTGCGGGGCCGGACCCCCGGTGTCCCCTCCGGCGGCGGGGCCGGGGGCTCCGGGGAGGGTGGGACGAGCTGGGGCGGCGGCAGCGCGGCCGCGGTGCCCGCGGGTCCCCGGTACTCACAGCCCGTCCTGTCCGCCAGCTCCCGCATCTCGGCGGGCACGGAGTGCGCGGAGCCCATCCCGGGCCGTGCCGGGAGCGCCGCCGCGGGCGCTGCACCGGAGCCGCCGCCGCTTTTAAGGGCGGGCGCGGCGGGGAGGCGGCGGCGGCGCGGCGGCCCCGGGTCCCTGCGCGCCCCCGCCCAGAGGCAGCGCAGGGCCCGCGGGGGTGGGACCCTCGGGGAGCGGGGACAGCCCCGGCAGCGGCTGCAGGCACCGGGAGCCCCCGGCTCTGCCCCGCTGGAGGGGCCCCCGAGAAGGGCACAGAGCTGCCCCGGGTATCCCGGGGCGGGAACGCGGCCGGGGTCTCCCCGCGGACACCCCGCGGCAGCTCCTCCTGAACCCTCGGCTGCCCCAGCTGGCACCGCCCGGGCTGTGCCCCCCGGGCGGGCAGGGACAAAGGGGGACGCCCAGAGACTCAGGACCCCCATAACGGAGGCAGCTTTCCCCAGGAGGCAGCTTTGGCAGGGCGGGGGGTTCTGTCCCCATCTCGCGGGTGCCAGACTGGCACCGGCAGGGACACGTCACCCTCCCACGGGCACAGGGAAGAGCAGAGCCCTTCCAGGAGTGCAGGCAGAGGTGTAGGAGCAGCTCAAAGAGCACAGCACACCGGCAGTAGGTAGCAAGTCAGTGTTGTTTATTTGTTTAAAGCCAAATATAAACAGGAAAGGAATGAAATCATTTCCAGCCTCCAGCTGTCCAGGAAAATACCTGTTTATAAATAAAAACGGAGAAAGGAGATGTCCCCATCTTGCAACCTCAGCTGTCAGTGTCAGGGGCCCTGGGGCTCAGGGCTCCTCACCCTCCATTCCTGGGCCAGCAGCTTTCCATACAATGTGGAATTTTGCCCAGCCGAGGAGGAGGAGGGCAGGAGGTGGGAAATACACACAGCACTCTGTCCCTGCTGACAGTCCCCGTGTCCCCCACGGGGGAAGAGCTAGCAGGGAGGCAGGCAGGGCCCTCAGAGCTGGGATATCCCTGGAGATGCCCAGAGTGGCTCAGGACAGTACCTGGAGCCAGCTGGTGTGCAGGTGGAGGTGGCCTGGAAGGGACCAGGAGATCCCAGGGACCCTTCTCCAGCCCAGAGCAGCCCTTTCCTCCTCTCATCCTCCTGCCCCAGAGGTCACAGCTCTCCCTGGCCCCAGGCAGGGCTGGCTGGTCTGGATGCTCCTGGGGCTCGGTTTTCCTGCAAAGATTGGAGACAAGCTACCATGGTTTGTCAGAGGTCTCACTGCCTGCCCTCGGCTGTGTCAGGCTGCTCTGTGTCCCTCCGTGTCAGGATGGCTCCAAAGGGGTTGGAAGAGCTTCCCAAAGGATCCAGGAGCTGTCCCTTCCTGCCCCTTGGCTGCAGGAGGGCACCAGCAGCTCCTCAGCCTGGCCCGGAGCAGCAGCACACCCAGACCTCGGCCTCCAAGGGTGGAGAAACCTCCCGGGGATGCTGCTGCCCCCAGGACAGTGCCTGGGAATGGCACTGCCCGGGAATGGCACTGCCCGGGAATGGCATGGCCCGGGAATGGCACTGTCCAGGAATGGCACTGCCCGGAACTCCCCTGAGTGCCAGCACCCAGTGGCAAAGCCTGGAACCAGCCCTGGCTTTTCCTCACCACCCAGACAGTGAGCACTCCTCACTTCCTGCCCCTTCCCAGCCTCCTCTTCCCCCATTCTGGATTTTTCTCCTTCACCGCCTGGATTTTCACATGCCAGCACCGGGGCTGTTCTGTCCCCAGGATGGGTGGCTGTGACATGGCAAGGGAAGGGAGAGCAGGGCATTAACTGCAGGGAATTCACCCCCTGCTCCCAAGGACTGTGGCACTGCACAGGAGAGACCTGGTCTGGCTTTGCACCTGGTGGGAGAGAGGGGAGGCAATTCCACCTTCTCCAGAAAGCCACACAGGGAGAGCTCCACACAGACAGGACAGTGTCAGCACCACCTTTAACACGGACACCACGGACCCAGACATCACCACAGACACAAGGAGCTTTTGGGATCCACTGCTGTCCCCTTGGGCAAAAGGTGACAGTGCTAGAAGGGGAGGGGCACAGGCAAACCCCAAATGTCACCCCACCATCCCACAGAGGTGTTCCCACAGTGCTGGACTGTGGATGTGCAGCCTGTGGGAAGCCAGGTGCATTCCAAGAGGCTGTTCCAGCATGGACACAGAGCTGTCCTGGGGGCTTCCAGATTTCCCTGGTCACCCTGGATGTATCCTGGGGGTTTCCATCTCTCCTGGCTCCCCTGGATGTATCCTGGGGGTTTCCATCTCTCCTGGCTCCCCTGGATGTATCCTGGGGGCTTCCATCTCTCCTGGCTCCCCTGGATGTATGCTGGGGGTTTCCAGCTCTCCCTGGTCACCCTGGATGCTGGGCTGAGGCCTCCCACAGCAGCAGGTGCTCACAGGGGAGTTTCTCCTCCCCAAGACCAAAGACTCCACCAGGGCAAGCAGCACTGGAGGCAGTGGGGACACCTGTCCCTCATGGGAGACCAAGGGAACTCACTACTCCCTTTGGGTTTGTGTCAAACCCCAAAATCTCACTTGGCCCCTGGGCTGAGGCTGTGTGGAAAACACACTGAAGCAGCCCAATCTTTCCAAATTTGGCACCTCCATGGCTGTGTTGGTGCTCTGGGTGACCCAACACCCACAACCCAGGTGTGGATGTGGGCAGCGCCAGAGCAGGCAGAGCTGCCTGAGGTCACAGTTCCTCCAAAAACTCCTGCCAGAGTTCCTCCAAAAAATCCTGCCAGATGAGGATTTAGTTCCAGGGCTGCCCTGAGGACCCAACCCTTCTGCACCCCAGGCCACAGCACTCTGTGCTCCCACACTTCCTCCTGGGCCAGGCTCCTCTCAGGCTACGAGCACAGCGTGGCCCCAAGAGGGACAAAAAGGGCCCTGCTGGCTGCTCTGGACCCTGAAGCCCCCAGCAGCTTCAGGGTTGGCAAGCACTGGCCAGTTCTCAGGGAAAGTCTGGGTGCTTTCTGCTGGCTCCTGTGGCTCTTCTATGGCACGGCTGCAGCGCAGGCAGCTCCTCGTGCTGAGGGCTCCTGTGAGCTCTGGAATTCCCTGGGTGCACTGGAGGGAGGCCCAGGTGGCAACAGAAGGGAGTACAAAACTCCAGAACCTTGCTGGCAGCCGGGAATGGGGAGCCCAAGCCCTGCTCTGCCCCTTCTCAGCCACCTTGGGACCCACCACCCCCATTCCCAACCTTGCATCCCTGCCAGGAATCTTCTGGGATCTGCTTTCACAATGGGTTGGAGCTTTGGGGTCTACTCCAGCCCTCAAGAACAAGAGATGGAATTTCAGATTCTTTGCCTGAGGATTCCCTACCCTGCTTCAGCATGGGAACTCCTCCTCCCTCCAGGTTCCTGTCAGGACAGACCTGGGATAGTGAAGGTGTCCCTGCCCATGGAACAAGAGGAGCTTTAAGGTCCTTTCCAGCCCAAACCATTCTGGGATTCTGACTCTTTAAAGACAGAGTGCTTGGAGCAGAGCCCCCTCAGCATTCCTCACTCTCTCCCCACAGGCTGCTCCTTCTGGAGCCCCAGATCCCTGCAGACCACCACCACCAAAGTGCTGGGCTCTCAGCATTTATTTCCACAGCAAACCAGTGCTCAGGGTTGCAGGAGGTGACATGCAGGGCAGGCATTGCTGGAGAGGAGGGCTGTGATTCCATGTGGAGATACCTGTAGTGCGTGAGAGACTAAAGAGCATCCACCTACCTCTACAGGGCCCTAATTGTCAGCTCAGAGAGAAGAATTACTGTGTTGCAAGTGGACAGTGACAGGAGACACGAGCTGCAGCTACTCTACACACATTGCTTCAGAAACCACAAAGATATGCACAAACACTGTGTCACTCTGCACCCCACAGCCCCTGAGCCCAGAGGAAAACCTCTTCTGCAGTGCTTCTGTCTGGGCCTTTAAGTCAAGGTTAAAAGTCATGTGCCTTGAGCTGCTAAAGCTCTTCCCTTGTAGGCAGCCAAGTCTGCGCCCCCCTAGAATCAGTTTTCTTTTGGCAAGAAGGAAGAAGGCCTCAAGCTGCAGGAATTAACATCTTGCTTCCATAATGGTTTGGCTGACTCCAGGGATGGCCAGGTTCCAGTCATCACTCCACTGTATTGCATAAATACCTATTGGAAAAAAATTTGGAGATGGCAGCGAGCGGCAGCTCCGCATCCATCGAAGTCACTCAAGGTCCCACCAAACATCCCCACGAGGCTCCAACTCCTCCTGGGAACACTCATGGCTGTGCCACGGATCCCACCTTGGACACACACAATGGACAGACCGAAGAACAAGGTCAGGACATGGGCTGGGTGTGTTCAGCAGGCATGGAAAAGGGCCAGGAGCTCCTCCTCTGCTTTCGGAGTCTCTGCTGATGGCGAGGTGGCCACCTGGCCCCGAGGTCAGCACTGCTCACCACCCCACGAGCCTCACTGCTGCTGGTTTTGTGACTGGAGCTCTTTCCCAGGCCCATAAAGATATTGCCAGGCCCAGAAGGATATTCAGGATTGGAACAGTAGCTCTAGGAACAATCAGACTACAGAGATGAAGCAATACCTGACCCAAAAATTCAGACAACAGCGAAACGTGAGAGACTTAAAAAACTATTGCCTGCATGGGATACACTCAAACCAAACCAGACACACACAGCCAAACAAAAATACTGCCAGGACAAGCCACTTCCTTCTCTGGAAGAAGGGATTCCTCCATATTCCACACCAGGATCTTGCTGTGTTGACCTCCTAACAGAAGGAGCAGAATGTGCAGATCCTTCCCAAGGACAACGCTCCTGGCACAGCTGTCCCTGCAAGATCCTCCTGCTGGGCCTCAAGTACCAAAGTGTCCGTGTGCCTTTGGGCCAGGACGGGCAGGCAGACAATGGGAAGATGCTGTAGCACCAGTTTCCAAGTTCAGTGCAGTTTTCAATGCATTAAGCCAAAGGATTGTCACCAAACTTGCTTCCCACGCAAGTTCTGCAGAGAGGGTAAAGCTACACTCCAGCTGCTTCTGTCCCCAGGCTGCCTCTGGCACTCACTCCTTGCCTGAGCTGTAAATCTTCTGCACCGTGGCTCGGGTGAGCTCCAAATCCTCTGGGTAGCGAATCTCCAGCTCGGTGTTTGCCAGGTAGTGAACGCCGGTGAACTCGGAGAAATAGCGGCCGATGTCGGGGTGAGGGATCTCCCGAGGCTCAGAGTTGTACTCCAGGTTCTCTGTCAGGGAAGGGAAGCAGCAGTTACCACCACAGAACAGCCTGCTGAATCTGGGCCTCTCTCAGGCCTTGTGTGTGTTTCTAGAAACACCAAATCTGGTGCCCGAAAGGAAAAAAATACCCTAATGCAGGGAAATGGGCAGAGCAAATCAGTGTGACTGCTCACAGAGCCTCACCTCCTGGTGGCCCCACTGACCAGGGACATGGCAACTGGTTTGTGCCTGGGATTGCCTGGCATTGGGCTGGAGGAGCAGGATGCTGTTCCCACTCTGCTGGTCACAGGGCTCAGCTGTAAGTGTGGGGAGAAGCTGCTGCAGTGAGCTCTGCTCCTCTAATCCCTCACAGCCCTTGGAGGATCTGTGTCAGGAGAGATCCCCCTCAAATGCTCCAAGGTGAGCCCATCTGCACAAGACTGTCCTGGCGGAGGAGCCAAGAGCTTCCTCCCTCAGCCTGTGTTTCCACCATGCCAAGGCCCAGCATTTGCCTCCAGCAAAATAAACTTCCCTAAATCCAAGCTTCCCCAAGTCCAGTGAAAAACGCTAAGAAGGACACGTTTAATTCCTCCAGATAACCGGATTAGGCACAAGAGTTAAACAGACAGAGTGCTTGGAGCAGAGCCTTGAACACTGAACCCCAAAGGTGACCCCTGAACACTGAAACCCAAAGGTGACTCCTGAACGCTGAACCCCAAAGGTGACCCTTGAACACTGAACCCCAAAGGTGACCCCTGAACACTGAACCCCAAAGGTGACTCCTGAACGCTGAACCCCAAAGGTGGCTCCTGAACATGAACCCCCCAAAGGTGACCCCGGCCAAGGGCTGCTCTGCTCTGCAGTGTCAGTGCAGAGCAGGGACTGGGAGTAAATCCCACAGGCTGGAGCCCTGCAGCACTCCCCAAATGATGTCATTTTTTTCCAGCACAGTGCCAGATAAAACAGGTAGTATTAGCTAGGGAAAAAAAAGCTGCATCAGGATCAAAGGCTGACTTTGGGCAGGGCAGGAACGAGCTGGGGTGCAGAGAACGTCATTCAGGAATAATCTGTCTCTGAAATCCAGTTCATTAGTGAGAACAGAGAATTCCTATTAATCCAAGCAGGCTCTTTGAAGCTGCTGCATGCCAGGGTGTGCAGCCAGCAGCACCAGAGCTTTCTATGCCTCAGCAGCCTGGTGCAGTCCTAGAGGCTTGCAAAGGACCTTTTTGGATACTGCACCACTGCGGAAAACAATGTGCACTGCTGAGTGCTCTGCAGCAGCATGGCTGAGCTGGGAGCTGTGCTCAGGAGCTGCAGGGATGGAGAGCTGCAGGGATGGAACAGGAGGGATGGAGCTGCAGGGATGGAGAGCTGCAGGGATGGAGAGCTGCAGGGATGGAACAGGAGCTGGCAGGGGAACAGGCTGACACAGGCAAGTTCAGCACAAGGTGGGAGCCTCCTAAAGGTGCTGACAAGCAGTTTTGAGCTATAGATCTCTGTCCTGTGCTGTCACAAAGCAAACAAAACACAGACAAGAGTGGACAGGTACCAAACTCCCTGAATAACACAGGAGTTCTGGAATTAGCTGCACTCAACCCACAGATTTAAAGGAAGGCCTCAAACTGAGGTACATTTATCTATAATAAGCTTGGGGTTATTTCTGAGCTGGTTAAATTAAACTCCACATGAGGATTTGTTTAGGATTCTTTCAGTAAAATCTCTCCCTCCCTCCCCAGAGTCAGGTCAGGAGGATATGAAATAATCATTCCCAAATGATCTGAGGATGTTTTAGAGGGGATATCAATAGCAGCAAGAACAAACCCTTCACTTTTCCCCAGCAATACCAGAACTCTTGAAGGCCACAGAGATGCAATGATAACAGTGTCTCCTACACAGAAATAACAGTGTCAGCCTACCCTGCAAGAACTGTGGGACCAGACAGAGTTCTGTTTGTTTAAACATCATTAGACACAAGATAAGTGATGACTCAGCCCCAGCAGCACTGGGGACAATTACCTGATTAGGTAATTACCAAGATGCACATTTTAATGTCAACTCATGGCACATGAGAATTTCTGGGTTTAAGACTCTCTCAGGCCAAGCCCTGCCTGATCTGAGCCATCAGGATTTGCCACTTCACCTTTCCGGGCTTCTGAATATAAAAAAAAACAATCTCAGGACAGTGGGAAACACCTGCCCTTTAAATCTACAGAGGGAGGAGTGTCCCTGCTTGTAAAGCCACCTATTGTCACACCTCTTGTCACACTCAGGAGACCAGAACATGAGGGAGCACCCAGGGAAAGGGCATTTTGGTCAGCATTTTCCCTCCAGCAGCTTCCACATCTTCCCTTAGCCAAACACACTCTGGCTGTGCAGCTGCCCTGCCTGGATAGGACCTCCCTGTCACAGGGGGAACACAAACACGAGGCAAATTAACATTTTTACAATGTACAGAGTCACAGATGTGCTCCTCTTTTGTAACGTTCTTCAGAACCTCAGTTCAACAGTACTTCCTGTATCCCAGCCACACACTCTGACCACCAGACAAGAGTTTCCTCTTAGGGTTTGTTGCATAAAGCACATGTGACACAGAGATTTCTACACCTCCCTGCACTTTTGAAGAGACATTCATTTTTGTTCTGGTTAAAGGTGGCACTAACAGCCAGGTTACCTGTGTTCCCTGGGTTCCTGGCATGTGACAGTGGCCAGAACCATGCCCTGACCAGCAACCCCTCACTAAGTCCCATTTCCAGGTCCTGTGCAAGGCACAGCTGTTGGGAGCTGCTGACTGACCTTCAGCCTCCAGCAGAAGCGGAATGATTTCTTTCAAAGCAGCAATCAAGGTTCACACCATCACAGTGTCCAAAACACTTCTGGGGTAAGAGGAGATCACACCAGAGTGAGCCTTCATGTAAATCCCAGCAGTGCTGATTTCATGGAGAGCAAACAGAGCAGGCCACGACTCAGGATCATCTCTCCTTCCTACCTCCACCTTTACAACCCTCGTTAACCACACTTAATTAATCAGTGAAGCACCCCTTTGTCCTGATATGGGCAGAGTGCCCACAGGAGCCCCTTCTCACCTTGGGCAGCATATCTGCAGGAGCCATCCTCCACCAGGACGTTGTAGAAGGGCTGGTGGGGGCCGTGGGGGAGGCTGTGCACGTTCATGTTCCGGATCCACTCGTGGCCCATCATGCAGGCAGGATCCCAGCCATAAATCACACAGTTGTAGCCATACCTGATTCAAGAAATTGCACACAAAGGCTGTGGAAACTCCAGAGCCAGCTCTTTTTCCTCAAGATTAACAGAGCACAAACAGGATAGGAACCTCCTGAGAGCTGGCACAAGGAGGAGAGGAGCAAGAGGGGAAAAAAACAATTCAGAAAGACTTTGTGTTTGTATTTTGAGGTGGAGGGAAGTAACTATGAATGACTGCATAAACAGACAGGAATAAACATCTGAAGACAAAGAAAAACCAAATGTGAGCAAGAAAAGAGAATGGCAAAAGAGCCTGGTAGTCAGCAGCCAGAAGAGGAAGGAAGAAATAAGGAAGGATCAACCACCCTGCTGGGTTGTGTAACTACTCTTGTGCTCATCACACAGACATGGCAAGGCCAACACTGAGAACAAAGCCATCACTATTTACAGAATATTTATGGGGTTAACTGTGAGGTGCTGTAACTGTCACTGCTGATGCCCCTCAAATATGCTCTGGATGTCTTGGTGAGTCCGAGGAGTGGCCAAAGCAATACAGTGCAGCAGGAACAGGGAATGAGAGCACAGGGAAACATCCACAAACTGTCCTGGGAATATCAGAATCGATTCTGAGGTTGACTCTCTTGCACAACCCCTCATTAAGTGATAGCTGCTGTTTCCTGAAGAGCTCTGTGCTGTGGGGATGTTACCTGTGTGACAGAGGATGACTCAGACAAGTCAGGCTCTCTGCAGTACAAACATTTGCTCTCTCTAGGTACTCCCAGAGCCTCCCCCGTTTTCCTGCACGGGACAAACGCACGTGCCTGGCATTTCCCTCTCCTCCTTGGCACTAAACCACATCTCACTGCTGTCAGCTCAAACCCTTCTGCTCTGCTGCTACAGAGCTGACTGTGGGGAAGGCTTCAAGCTCACCTCTTGTGTTTCATGATGAGCCCAATGGAGAAGCAAACCTCCTTGTGCTTCTCATCCGAGCGGTGCTTGACCTCGGGGCCCAGCTCCTCCTTGCGCCGCTCGATGTGCTCCAGGGTGTGCTGCACCAGGTACCCCACAGCCCCGTGCTGGGATGGGTCCAGGGCCTGGATGTGCTGCAGGATGTCCAGGACCTTCCAAACCACAGCAAAAACAGGGTCAGGACACGTCCCTGCAGCAGCACAACTTATAAACTGTCGTAGGTTATTTTCCATTTCAAGGGAGGCTCCTGCCTTCCTCAGCAGACACCTCTCTTTTCACACTCAGACATAAACACATACAGAAGGATTGCTGGAGTCAGCTGCATGTGAGTGCCCTGAGATCTGCCACAACATCTTCCACACAGTTCTCTGCTACAGCTTCATGTTCAGCCTGCACACAGCCTGTTCTTATTCCTTTTCTCTTTGTAAAGCTCCAGCTTCAGGAAGGGCACTGGAGAGCACAGCAGCTCCTTAAAACTCAGCCCCACGAGTTCATCATGTCCTGTTTAGTGCCCACAGACCATCTCTCAAGGTTTGTGGTCATGAGAATGCAGTTCCCAGTGTCCCAAAAATGCTGCTGGGAAGTGATTCCAGGTGACTTCTGGTGCTCTTGAGAACTAATATTTTAATTTAAAAGAGCTTCTCAGCATGTCTGTGAGGAACAAAAATAGGGCAGCACAGGAGAAAATGGAAATAACCTCCATGATGCTTTCCCAAGGAACAAGACAGAAAAGCTGCTTGTCTCAGGCTGCCTGAAAAACACAGAGTAGCAAGGTCTGCAGATCCACAATTCCAGCCTCCCAGCACCCTCTGGCACAACATCAGAGCACCTGCTGCCAAGTCTGTTAGAGTCAGGCAAAGCAAATTTTAATTTTTTGGTAAAAGCAAAGAAAAAAACCCCAACCTCTTGTGTAAACACGTTGAGAAAAGACAGGTATCTGTCTCAACATCAAATACCTCAAGTCCCAAAATCTGCCACACTTTGGCACCATGTAAAATGATTGTCTCCTTCATCATAGGTTTGGTCATTAAGTTCAGAGCAGCAGCAGAAGAGGAATGGAAATCTCAGGCTGTTCAGCATGAACAGCAGCCAAAAATCGAGGAAAATCAATTTAAATAAAGAACAGGTGAGTAATTCATGAGAAGAAACACAGCACAGGCTTCTTGGCCACTTTAATCCTATTAAGAATTAAGAAGGATGTGAAAATCCTGAAAAATCCTGAAGTACGGAAGTAACCACAGCTGCCAGAGATTCTTGGGAGTTTTATTTACTGTTATTTACAAATATTTAGGGCAACATTAAGTGTAGCTCTGCAGGACTTTTTAGATTTCCTACCCATCCATAAATCTGGCAGCCCCTGTCAAAGCTGGTACATTGTGTCCTGTCAGACACAGCATTCTCTCTGGTTAGCTGCAATCCTGCCTGGCAGCCTGGAATGACTGGATGCAATCCTGAAAAATCCAAATTTGCTAATTTCCATTGCAGCTGTTGCAGAGAACTCAGTAAAACTCAGCCCTGGGGTTGGGTTCTATGTTCTGGGGGCTGCAAATCCAAGTCTGGTGCTCTCCAAACACATCCCTGAGTGCCAGGAAGATCTTTCAGTGTTCCCTATTTATGTCCAGCTCACTAAGTCCCTCCCATACACAATTTTTTGGTGCTGGTTTTTCTGTACTAACCCTAAAATTTGCTGCCATAAGAAAAGAAGGCCAAGCTTAGCACAGTTTGCTCTTCAAAGGGAAGGAGGGAGCTTCTCCAGCAGTCCTGTTCCAGTTGATTTGGCGGGAAGAGCTTTGCTTCTGCTCAGCTGTCCAGCTCCTGTCCAATACTCCTGTCCCCTTCGCAAACCTCACAGGTGGAACTGGCACAGGCTCCACTGAACCAGCACAGGAAATTTTGAGTAGGAAAAACTTCTGTGCTGCAGTGACACACTAAAAAAATCAGACTTTTTTGAGTTACAGGCTCTTCTCTGTGCCTTCTCCTGATTCAGTGAAAGCCTTGGATGACCCAGACAACCTGTAAATCTCAGCGCCTTCCTTCCCACACTCCCAAGATAACAGGACTGGAGTTGTTACCCTGAAGGAAAAGGAATTCCAAAGACAGGAATATCAAGGTTCTTTTTTCACAAGAGCCACAGACTGTGTGGCCAAAGTTGGGAGCACAGCTTTGGTTTTATTTATAAAAGATAACATCCTAAAGTTTTCTGATAAGGTAATTGCTCCCTTTCCAGGAGCCCAGCAGGAGTTTTACCACAATTTAAGCACAGAGCAACAGGATACTCTTATAACTCACAGTCCATGGTGTTGGTTTCAAGACAAGCTGTAAATAATAAATTATGACTCAAAGCTGCTCCCAAGTCTCCCCTAGGACAGGCAGCCAAGAATCATCCACTTTCCCTGCTTAAAATTGATTCTCTGCAACGTGAGAACTTCTCCAACTGCATTTATTACAGAAACAACTTGTGTCAGACTGTAATGCAGGCTGACATAGCCCAAAAATCAATAACCCCGTGTTAATAGTGCTCAGCCTTCCCCAAAGCATTCCCCTGAGTGCCCAGGTACCTTTTCTGGCCAGATTCCCAGATGGAAGTATAATCTGGCCTGGAGCATGAGGTGCTGCACATTGTCTGGATACATGGCCAGGTACAGGTCCAAGGAGTCTCTCAGGAGCTGGTAGGACTGGTCAGTGCTCTCTCTGCCAGCAGAAAGGAAACTCACCTGTGAGCCTCTGCAACCCAGAGCTCCCAGGGACAGGGGGAGTCCCCAGAACGGTGCTGCAGGTACAGCATGCTCACAACAGTGACTCCAGAATGGATTGTCACTCACCACATCAGCTTGCTACAAGGAAAAGCATTCCACACCTGATTACTGAACTCTGACCTCCCACCCACTGCTATTCTCCTGGGTCAGATGATCCCACACAGAGAAATCACTCTCCAAGACACTTCCTTTTGTTCCCCTGACACCTCAACAATCCTTCCACTTCTGTGAGTCTGTCTCTGGCTGCTCGGGAAAGGGATTATCAGGAGGATTTGGAAACAAAACTTAATGTTCTACACACCAACAGGATCTCTGAAAATGCTCATCTGAACGTGGGGGTTGTGCCTTCCACATGACAGGAAAAGGCTCTGCTCTTAAAGTGGACAGTCCCTATCAGCTTTTCACAGAGAAAATAAAAATATCTTGCCTATTTTCTTGAGAGGAACTAGTTTCATAAATATTTTTGTTTCCCCTCAGATGCAGGTGATTAAAATGCTTTGTGACACAGGGAATTTTCAGCATCTCAGGAGGTGAGCGACACCTTTTTGAAGCAGCAATATCAGACATGCAGATAATGTACCCCAGGTCCTTTTTCCCAGGGTATGGATCCTGAACTCACCTCTTGCCAAGGTTCAGGAGGTTCCCCACCATGCGCTGCAGGACCTCCTTGGAGGTCACCACTCCATAGAACTCCTCTGTCACGTGGTGCCCGATCAGGTACTCGCACTCCTTCACTGTCAGCTGCTTGCCCTTCCCAAAGGCATCGATGTAGGTGTAGTCAAAAATATCTGTGCTTCTGAAGAGGCAACAGAGAGCCCAAACTGTGATCAGGGTCTCGTGGTAAAGCAGGGTTTGCTGTTTCTGTTCTTCCCTCAGCATTTCCAACCTGTGTCCTTCATTCCTCAGCTCCCTCCTAAACAGAGACTACCTGGTCCATAATTCCCACATCACCTCATGGGTACTATTATTTCAGGAAATCTGTTATTATTCAGCAGCAGCAGAACTGAATTTCAGGAACACTTTCTTAAAGATCTGTTTTTTCCCCTCTGTATAGGTTACAATTCCATGTGGAAAACAATTGAACATTCCTCTCTAGGTCTAGAGCAGGAAATCTGTTACCATTCAGTAGCAGCAGCTGAGTTCTAGGAAAACCTTCCTAAAGATCTGATCTTTCCCTCTGTACAGGCAGATGGAACACAATTAAACACTCTCACATAGGTCTGGAGCTGTAAGTATGTTCTGGTTTTTGTCACTGTGGGCACAGTTTCAGAGCTCAGCAGGTCACTCACCCTTCTTTCCCTTGACACCATCGCAGTAGGAAATGGCTGGGAAAGTTGACAGGCTCCAGTTTGACTCCCAGCTGCCTGGCAATTGTTAAATAAAGCACAGACAAACTGATGGGAATTCCTGTCCTGCGGATCAAAACCTGGGGGAGAAAAATGAGACAAAAAACACAGGCAGGATTCAAGAAAAACACAAATTTCAAGGGTTGATTTCACAGCTGAAAATGCAACTTGACAGAATATGCACTGAAGGGTAACATATTTATTCAAGAGTTGCTCTTCACAGAGATTTGTCTGGCTACATTCAGACAAATAAAGTGCCTTGCAGCCTCCCAGTTTTTGCCTGACACACACACACACCTGGTGAATGTAGGAATTCAGGGAGTTGTAGTAATCCAGCTCATTTCCTTTGTATTTCAGCTGCTCATACAGGACACAGTTCATGGCATCAAGCACCTGCCTCTGAAGTTCCACTTCTGGAATGAGAACCTCTCCTGGAAACACATGCAGTGAAATAAAGACTGAGAAAACAAGAGCACTCAACCTTTATGCAATGAAATCTTCACATGGGCAGGCTCAGACTCTCCTTGAAAGCCAGAAATTACTCAGTGTTTATAAAACCATGGAGCAAGATGCTGCCTGACCTTTGGAGATGATAAACATGCACCTTTCTACCGATGATTTTTTGAGATTGGCAGGAAAGAGGTTGTTTCCCAGTCTCACAGCTCAGCTGTAGATAACAGGACTAATAAGATTCCAGAGACCAATGGGAAAAAATAGAATTGCCCTCCCAATTCTTTCAGCATCAGACTGAACCCCGGGCTATTGAACAGCTGTTTCGTGAATGATGGCTTCAGTAAATGTCACAATTTTGTTTGTCAGGGGATAAAAACAACAGCTCTTTAAGCTGCCACAACTCCCCAGCTCTTTCAGCTGTGCAGAGGTGTAGGAGGGCTCTGCAGGAAGGCACATTTCTGTACAGTACCTGCCTTGGAAGCCAAGCTGGGGTGCCTGGGGTTCTTGGTCCGCAGCACTTTGCGCACTTTGTCTGTGATATCGTCCACCTGGGCCTGGACACTCTTCAGGCAGATGTCTGACAGGGGGTTACAGTACTGATCAATCAAAACAGCACCTGCAAAAAACAAACTGCATAAGAAACAGGACTTCAGTTTTTTCTTTGCTTGGTTTTGCCTGCTCTACATTCCAGGCATGCAGCGAGTGCTTGCAGCAGAACAGCAGAGCTCTGTGTCTGAATCCTGCAGTCATCTCCTGGATTTGTTACACAAAATGCAGAGAGTGAGCTGACATGAGAAATTACCAGCTGAACTCAGTATTGCCCTCTCCACCACGCTGAAAGGCATCTGTACCTTGAGCAGGAATGCTGCTTGGTCAGGCTTGACCAGCTCTGTGCTCACACTGCAGCCCCTGGCACCTCCCCAACAGACAGAGATTTTTATTCAGAGCCTGAAACAATCCCAGCTTCACTCAAACTGCCTCAGCTCTGATTGCTGCCTGTCACATCCTCCATATCATCCTTGTTCATCATTTCCTTATCTGCTACATTCATCTTTCTCTTCCACACCTGCTCTCCATCTTCCTAACACAACAGAACAGAACAAGCTTTCATGTTCCTCCTGCCCCAGCCTCTGCAGGAAAACATTTCCTTTTCACAGAGCCTTCTCCTTGGCACCACTCCTTTTTCCAAAGCCTCCTCTTCAATCTTTGGAATCAGCTGCAAGGATTTTGCATGGACCATACATTTTCCAGCCTCCTACAAGGCTTTGTCAGCATGTCCATGACAGGCCTGTAAATCAAGGAATTCAGCAGGGCCCCATGTCTCCTTTCTGTCTTCCCAGAGTGTTCCCTGTGCTGACCAGGTGGAAATTCCCAAAACACTTCCTGCTGGCACATTAATGGGAAGCAAATCACACATATTTGTCACCCACATGACTAAGTCTCATAATTAATTTGTTTTTTTCTAGAAAACACCACTTTTTACTTTCCCTATCAGCCCCTTCTTCAAAGTCTACTGCACTAACAAGAACCAGCTTTGGTGTTACAGCCTCTTTTGTCCTCTTTCAGGGACATTCTGGAGTGTGTACCAAGAGGAAGGGACTCTTTTACAGCCTCTGGCAGCTTCTGAGCCATTCAGAAGACACAAGGAGAATAATCTATCAGACTGAGGACATGAAGAGCAGAAGAAGCAGAAGAAAGAGCTTTTTCTTTCTTAGCACGTGTAAGTGCCCTCCCACCATGGGACTGGACTTGGATTTGTTTCCCACCAAAGTCTAGCACTCAGTTCTTGAGACACTCCCAGTGCTCAGGCTACAGCAATTCCCTCTGCTTGCTCCCTGCCCTTATCTGAGGAGTTCCTGGGAAGGGGGAAAGCAGGGAGCTCACTGGGAATCAGCTCAGGGGCCACAGCAGCAATGTCAGTAATAAGGATGCTGAGCTACAGCTCATTTTCTCAGCACCTTGTTCAAGATTCCAGTGTTTTACCATTTTCTGCCTTCAGCCCAGCTGTCCAGGGTGATTTTTCAAGCACACAGCACTGACAGCACCCTGATGCCACCCTGACATTTTGATGCAACGCTGCTGCAGGATGGGAAGCATTCCAGACACATCCAAAATCCAGCCTGAACTCTGAGTCATTAGCCAAGGGCTTGCTGGAGTCTAAGCAAGGCAGGCTCCTTGCAAGTCAAAGCATGATGGAGAGCTGTCATTAGGTGCTCTGGCTGGGCTCTCTGCCAAGGACTCACCCTCCAGGAAGGACTGCCGCTCCGTGGGGCGCTGCAGATACTCCTTCAGGTTCTTTAGTATGTTCTGCTGCCGTAGGAAATAGAGAATTTTCTTTGCATAGTACTTCCAGGTGAGACCTTTCCTGCACAGTTAAACACAAGAGGAAGCATTTCCCTAAACAGGTATTTGAAGGGTGAACAGTTGGTTTAAGTTTTAATACAAGTTTACAGTTTGGGTAATTGTTTTTCTCAACAAGCACTGAAAGTCAAACCAAAAGGGGAATGTTGAGAGGAATTTATCACAAAAAGCCACATAACTTGCAAAACATTGCTCCTATCATCTCCAATTTTCATCCCATCACCAATACATTCTTTTGAGAAGATACATTATCATGGGAAACAACACAGATCCTAATTCAAGGAGCTCAGGAAAATCTGATTAAAATCCTATACTTTATTCATAAAACATTACCCTCTGTCTGACTGCATCTCTCCAGAGCCACTCCTAAAGCATCCTCTCAGCATTAAAAATAGATTGATGAGGGACATGAACGTCAGTCCAATAGTATTAAGAAGAAAAACGAAATTCCCCAGAGAAAAACCAACTCTGTAGCTCTGACAAGGCAGGAGGAGATCAACAGTTGCTCTGTAGATGACACAATTCCAAAACTTTTTACGGGAAAGCCCCATCACTTTCTAAAGCCTCTCCATCCTCCTGGACAGCAGGGCAACTAAAACTCATAACATTTTATCTTCTTCCAATAAACTGGGATCCTCAATAGGGACAACTGCTTTATTGGGATATCTTCCAGGGAAGATGATTTAGCCTAATGCTCCTCAAATGGCACTGACTACAGCTTAATCAGGGTGTAATTAGCATCAATTCTGCTTTATGGGGAGGCATTTGGCCAGTGCAAAGCCTCAAAAGCTTTTTAACCAGTTGTCAAATGAGAGATGCTCAGGCCCAGCTCAAATAGAGCTCAAATAGAGAAGGCAATAAAATGGATGGGAAAAGGCAAAAATGAGATGATTGCCATTCCAGTTGGGTTTTTTCAAGCCCTATTAACAGTCCCTCTAATCAAGGCTATTAGGCCCCATTAAGGACATTTATCACAGCTTTGTGTCACACCAAACCCAGCCTGGGTAGGTGGTACCAGCAGAAAAACCTTCAAATAAAGCAAATAAAGCCTTCAAATAAACCTACTCATCTTGCTCAGCGTTAATCAAGGTGATGAGATTACCCAGGCAGATAAAACCCAGGAGTTTTATTTACCACCTGTCTGAATAATTTACAGAACTGCAAACTTTGCAATGGCTGAATTCAACTCAGTTGCTTCTCTGGGGACAAAAACTGAACCAACCTACTCCAGCTCAGAAAAGGAAAGAAAAAGCTGGAATTTCAGGGTACAGGGATTCATGATGGCAATCCTGAAGGATTCCTGCTTCCCTCTGGTGCTCTGGCCTAATCCTGCAAATCAGTCCAGCAAACTGATCCAGGCTTAAATCAAAAAGGAACAAGAGGATGGGAACTGCTTAGGCAGAGCTGAGGGTGCATGGGATATGTCCCAAGAGATGCCATGAGCTGGCAAGGAAATAAACAACAAAAAGCAACACAAAGCCCAGGGATCTTCTTGTGGGACAAGGTTTCCATGGTTTCCTCTGGAAATACTCAATCTGTTGTGATTGTGAAATCAGGCCCCAGAAAGCCTGGGAATGCATGCCATGAGCTGGCAAGGAAATAAACAACAAAAAGCAACACAAAACCCAGGGATCTTCTTGTGGGACAAGGTTTCCATGGTTTCCTCTGGAAATACTCAATCTGTTGTGAAATCAGGCCTCAGCAAGCCTGGGGGTGTTGTTTAATGAGTGACCAAGGGCAGAAGCTGAGGTCAAGCATTAACCAGGGTATTTTTCTCCTTGAACTGGTGGAAGAGGGAAATCCCTGCCATTTCTCAGCCCTCTCTTACCTTCCTTCCATGTTGAGGATACACATCAGCTCATCCTCAAAGAAATGGCTGGGGCACCCCAGAGTCTCAATGTCACTGAATCCATCACAGGGCACCTGCCAAAGCAGACAAGGAGTTATGCACAGCACAACAGGTTCTCCCATAACTTCAGAAAAAGTCTCAAAACCAAATTAGTCCATTTTTTTCAATTTACTGAAGATCTTAAAAACCTCATGCTCCCCAAATACTCCCAGTCTGTACTCATTGATGTATTAATCCATTGAGAACCCCAGGAACATCCTATAGCAATTTCAGCCCAATTCTACAGCATTTAGGGTTGTGATGCTGAGCTCAGGACCAGCAGAGTCACATTTATGCAGGGTGGGCACAAGCTGCAAGTGATTTTAAGGTGGAATCAACTTCTGCTTGTGGTTGACTGAACCTCTCCATACACCCCCTGTGCAGGAGATTCATCCTGGGAGAAGGAATGAAGAGGCAGGAGCCTTTATTTTTTGCAACAACCATTTCTGCATCTATATTCAGAACTGCTATTTTCTTCCAGAATTCAGAATTACTTTTTAAACTTTGGCTGAACTGTAAAAAAATTGGCTTTCAAGCTTTTCACTATAGGATATGGGCTCATATATGGGTTGAAAGCCTTCTCTCAGCTCTGAGCAGGGAATCAAGCTGCAGTTTCTGGCCCCACAGGAGATGGTTCTCATCATGAGGCCTTTGGGTATTGCTTAATGGTCTCTACATGGTCTTTGCATATGTGATCAAAACAGGAGGAATCCAGGAGCTGCTTCTCCCAGTTAATGCTCTGACAATTCTCCATGGACAAATGTCTGGCTGCTGCAGAACAGAGCAGCCAGGAGACACCAAACACCCTCCTGGCCCTGCTGCCTTCCTTCTGCACAGGAGCCATAAAAGGGGGGCTGTTTAGTGGCTCTTGTGTGGGATTTTGAATTCAGCCAATGTTACAGGCAGTATTTATATTCATTTCACACAATTCCAGGCTGACCCAGCTGTACAGCTTGCCAAAATCCACAGCCACCAAGCAAACAGCCCAGTAACTCCTGTCTCATGTGCATGTCAGTGTTAGACACCACATTCCCACCTTTTCCCCACTGAACAAAGAAGCATTTCAGGGTCATGGCTGCCTGGAGAACTTCAAAAACACACTTTGCAACCGAGTGGCCCTGTTGTGCTTTGCTCCTGCACTCAAAGGGCTTGTGACAGCTCTCAGAACTCATCCTTGCACAAGGTCTGCAGCTGTGCTTTGTGTCAACAAACCCTGTGGCCTTCAGAATTCCCAGAGCCAGGGCTGAACTCCCAGCAAAAAGCAAAGAGCTTTTAGGGCTGAATGCAATCCCAGGGTGTGCTGCACTCCACACACCTCTGGATTTGGAACTCTCTCCCCTTCTGGCTGTGTTTCAGCATTTTACACAAAGTCAGGAAATACAAAATCTCTAAATGAACAGCTGAGGCAATATGGAGAGAGAGGCAAGAGAAACTAATGAAAAATATTGATCACAATCAAGGAGGGTGAATCTTTGAATTACTATGGAATCATGGAATATCCCAAGCTACCACAAGGATCACTCAGTCCAACTCCTGACCCTGCACAGATATCCCAAAATCCCACCACATCCCTGGCAGTGCTGTCCAAATGCTCCTGGAGCTCTGGCAGAGCCAGAGGCTGTCCCCACTGCCCTGGAGAGCCTGGGCAGTGCCCAGCACCCTCTGGGGGAAGAAGAGCCTTTTCCTAATAAAAATAATAATAAAGACTAGACAAACACATTTTTAAAAGGGAAAAACCCTCTAAAAAATAAACAACTTTTGAATGGTTTAAGAATTTTTAAAGAATACACCCTGGTGATGTGAATGCTCAGGCAGTGCTGAGGAAACAGCCTCAGGCTGCTCCGGGGGAGGTTTAGGTTGAATATTAGGAAGAATTCATTAATGGAAAGGGTTGTTAAGCATTGGAACAAGCTGCTTAGGGAAGTGGTGCAATCGCTGTCCTTCGAAGGAGTTCAGTTTTCTGGACCCTCGTCAGGAAAATCTCCTGGCAGCAGCTGCTGTTGGGTTGGTGCAAGGATCAGTGCTGGGCTCAGCCTAAACCCTTCTGGCAGCAGACCAAGGGCAGAACGTGGGCTCTTGAGGCTGCATCATTTGCAAGCCCCAACATTTCTGAAAGAATAATAATAATAATAATAATAAGGATGATGTTCTTTGTGTACTGGAGATGTCAGCCCAGGGTGTTGTGAGAAGTCTCAGCCTCTCTGAGCTCTGGTTTCTGTCCAGCAGATGAAGCTGTGAGACCTACACAGGCAGCCCTACAGACACCTGGACTGTGCTGCTCTCAGCTTCTCCTTGCAGAGGGGCAAGATTTGTTTTCCTGAGAGAATTTAGGAATGTCAGCTCTGGCTTTTCAAAGATCCTCTGAAGGGTTCAGAAAATGAAGATGTGGTGCTTAGGGACACAGTTCAGGACTTGATACTGAAGGTCTTTTCCAACCTTAATGATTCAATTACTGATTTTATTAATGATTCTATTAGACAAGTGGCAGGGCTGCTGCACACACACACAAAGAGAGGAGGACTTACATGTTCTGAGAAGAACCTTTTGGAGAAGGAGGCCACAATCCTCTGTGCCTCCAGCCCCGCGTTGTGCCGTGCCTTGTACTCCTCCAGCCAGCTGACACTGTCACTGTGGCTGTAGTACTTCAGCAGGGATGGCCACCTGCACACACAAACCAACAGCATCATCAATATTTCACCTCCCTGAGAACCTCCAGAACGACTTGAGGAGCTGAGACAGAGCCCAGACACTGCCCAGCTTTAAACTGTATTAAATTACCTCAGACATCAAAGCACAACTCCCCAACTGCAGCTGTGCATTAATGATTATTTAAAAGCAAGCTCTCCTAAAGCCTTCAGAGGCTCCCACTCCAGGATTTTAATACCTAAACATCCTAAATGCTTCAGTTTTATAATTAAAAGAGTTTACCACAAAGAAGGAAGCCAACCTGGCACTGAACAGAAGGGGAATTCTCTGTCCTGTGTTCTTCCTACCACCTCGGGGAGCTCATTAAAACACAGCTCCCTCCACTGCCCTTGCTGGTGGCAACATCTACGGGAGGAAAACACAACCTGAAGTCAAATTGTGACAGCTAAATGCTTCTGCAGTTTGACAAGAGACAAGAAATAATTGTTTGAAGGAAAAAAAAAAACCACCTCACACTTTTTTTGTTAAAAAACCCTCCTTTACTGAGACTTAAAGACCACACATTTCACAGCTTATTCAGAATTTCAAGGTTCAGCTGAAAATCCAACTTCAGGGCATGCTTTGGGGGCTGTTAGCAGCACCTTTCTGAACAAAGTGGGTGTGTGGTGCCACAACACAGCTTTGTGCCATAAAATAGGTGCCAGCACTGCAACTCCTGCTGCTGTGAAGACACCAAGATCACTTGTGTGAGAAACATGAACAAGAATCAGCACAGATGGAAATATTTTGGAAATGAAGCTGAGAGAAAGGAGTTTCTTTTCATTTGCTGGTGGATTTATTCCACATTTTGAAATGCTGTCCATTATTACTGGTTTATACAAAACATTTTCCTTTGCCTTAGGCTCTTTTCAGGTTATATATATGTATGTATATTTATACATTTGATTTACCAAATATTGAAATCACTCCTCCTGTATAATAATTATTACCAGTGTCCAAAGCACACCTGGAAGATATTTCACTGCTGGTTAATAATAAAACTCCCCTGCACTTGTCTCCACAAAATAAAGTCAAATAACCACACATTACATAACAATCTCTATCCTGATGAATCCCTGGCCTTTCAGTCCTGCTTAAATGCAGCCACCTCACAATAACCATCACAGTCCTCTGTTTTGGGATGAGAAAGGAGAATTTCATGGCTTGGAAGGACAGTGGGAATTCTGGAAAGATCAAAGTGCCATTGCTCACAATGGAATCCAGCCAGGATGGCAAGGTCAGGGTGAAGCCACCTGCCAAAAATTCCATTACCAAGGAGAGAGGAGGAGAGCAACGTGTGCCAATCACCCACCACATCCCATTCCAGCTGCTGGATCCCAACCAGGGTGCCACTTGCAGGAACTGCAGCCACTGAACTGCTGAAAGTCAGCCCCAGAGCCATGCCTTGGAGCAGTGGAGAAGCTGTAATTCCTCAGCAGCTTTTTTACCCCTGTGAAAAGGGGGGAAAGGGAACAATCCCCACACTTGGGCTGAACTGAATTTCAGGAGCAATCTGGCAGCTAGAGAAAGCAATTCTGCTGCTTTTCCTGTGCCAACACAGACAAAAGCAGGTAAGAGATGAGCCTGGACAGCCTCAGGGACGAGGAGAGCTGCCCCCAGGGCTGCTGAGACCAGCACAGCATCACCAATATCAGAATCACCCTTCACCCCAGCCAAAATATGCACAGTGCCCCGAGCACAGCACCCTGGGGGAAGCAGAACAGCAGCAAAGCCCCATCCCAGGACCTGGGTATCTGTGAGAACTGCTCTCCCCAAATGCTCACACACAAACACCTCTCTGCTGTCCAGCACCAGTCCTGAGATGGGTCTTGGCTGCTGCTTTGGAACTTTTGGAGGGGTCAGGGAGGCCGATGCACAGCCCCAGCGCACGATTCCACTGCCAGAGCCCGGGCTGGCCCTGGGAATGCAGGGGATTCACGGGCCGCGGTGTGGAAAGGACCACAAACCTGCTCTGGGCCAAGGGGGATCCCCCGCGAGCAGCAGGCCCGGCCGGTCCCTCCGCGGGAGCCGGGAGGGCAGGCAGCCCCGCAGAGCGCTCGGAGCAGCGCACGACACCCGCCCGGAGCCGCCGCATCCCCGCAAGTGTTCCAGGCCAGGCTGGATCACCTGGAGCAGCCTGGCAGGGTGCCCGGTGCCCCTGCCCGTGGCACGGGGTGCAAGGACGGCCCTGCAGCCGCCTCCCCGCCCGCCGCAGGCTCACCCAGCCCGGGCGGAGCTCACCGCCAAGGGATCGAGCGCTGACGGCGGCACTTCCACCGCCCCACGCGACCCTCCCAGGCCGGCCCTGCCCGCCCGACCATCCCCGGTGCCGCGGAACGCCGGCGGTGCCGGTTCCCTCCCGTCCGAGCGGCGCTGCCCACCTGAGGCGGAAGCGCTCCCGCCACACCTTGCCGCGGGGCTGGCACGCCTCGCGCAGCCGGCGGCAGGTGCAGGACACGCGGCCGATGTCGGCGGCGCCCAGCACGTCGCAGCAGAGGATGAGCTCCAGCAGCTCGCCCGGCAGGTCCGTCAGGCCCGTCCCGCCGCCGCTGCCGGGCCCCACCGGGCCCGCGGCCTCCGCCGCCATCTTGGCTGTTTACCTGCGCTCCGGGGCCGCCGGCGCTTCCGGGGAGGGGCGGCCCGGGGAGCGTCCGCCAAGTGCGGCCGCGGCGCCGAGCGCAGAGCGGGCAAGGGAGCGTCGGACAAGTGACGGGAGCGCGGGGCACGGAGAGGGCACGGGGCTCTGTCGGTACCGGGAACGGCGGGCACAGGGGGACCGCATCGGGCTGTCAGCATTGCACACGGAGTGCCAGAAAGGGGCCGAATCGGTGTGATCGATATTGGAAACGGGGTGCCAAAAAGGGACCTCATCAATGTGTATCAATGCTGGAAACAGAGTGCCCAAAAGGGATCAATGTGATCAGTATTGGAAATGGAGTGCCAAAAAAGGGACCTCATCAATGTGTATCAATATTGGAAAAGGAGGTGCCAGAACGGGACCTCATCAATGTGTATCAGTATTGGAAACAGAGTGCCAAAAAGAAATCAATGTGATCAGTATTGGAAATGGAGTGCCAAAAAAGGGACCTCATCAATGTGTATCAATATTGGAAACAGAGTGCCAAAAAGGGGACCTCATCAATGTGTATCAATATTGGAAACAGAGTGCCAAAAAGGGATCAATGTGATCAGTATTGGAAATGGAGTGCCAAAAAAGGGACCTCATCAATGTGTATCAATATTGGAAACAGAGTGCCAAAAAGGGACCGAATCAGTATGATCAATATTGTAAATATGGGCTAAAAAGGGGCCTCATCAATGTGATCAATATCAGAAATGGGGGCCAGAAAAGGACTGCATCAATGTGATCGATATTGGAGTGCCAAAAAGGGGCCTCATCACTGTGTGTCAGTATCAAAAATGGGGTGCACAGGGGGATCTATCAATGTGTATCAATATCGGAAAGGGGGTGTCCAAAGGGGAATGATCAAAATGTATCAATATTGAAAAGGGGGGGGGACAAAAAGGGGGTTTCATCAGTGTATCAATATTGGAAAGGAGATTCCAAAAAGGGGACCTATCAATGTGTATCAACAGCAAAAAAGGAATGCACAGGGGGATGTCTCAAGGTGTATCAATATCGGAAAGGAGATTCCAAAAAGGGGCCTCATCAATGGGTATCAATAGTGAAAAGGAGGTACCCAAAGGGGACCTTATTTAATCAATACCGAATGTATATCAATACCTAAAAGAGGTGCACAGAGGGAACATATCAATGTGTAAAAATATCTCAAAATATACCAAAAGGAGACTTATCAATGTGTAGCAGTATAAGGTCTTTTAAGGATAAACTGTCTAATTAAGAAATGATACTTAAATTATTATTTTTTAAACTTAATGACTAATTACCTGTGTTCTGTAATGTGGACTTTTTAATGTAATTACAGAATACTACTTAAATTTGTGAAGAAGGTAAAGAAGAAGGACTGGCTTCCACCCTAAAACATCTATCTTGTTTTATATATATATAGCTATATATATTATGTATAACAGATATTATTATTGTCTATATTATATACATTTATATACATGTATTATTATATATTAAATTAATTGATACTGTTATATATTAAATTAAATTATATATATATATATATATATAGAAATAGAAATAATTTTCATATATTACTATATTCTAAAATCTTAAACTTTTCCACCATGTGATATTACACACTTCTATTCAAACTCCACACCCATAATCTTAGTTTTATCATTCCATTTTGGAAGCCTTCTCCACGGCCTCAGATCAAATGCAGCGTTGCCTTGAGGGTCAGTACCTGTCAGCACAGAAAATCTAAAATTCTCAGTAGCTGAGGTTCTGACCTTATATCAGTACCTAAAAGGGTGCACAGAGGGGTCCTCGTCAATAGCAGAAATACCTAAAGTGGATCAATGAGTATCAATATCCTGTGCCAGGGCCTGCCCACCCTCCCAGGGAACAATTCCTTCCCACTGTCCCACCTAACCCTGCCCTCTGGCAGTGGGAAGCCCCTCCCTGCCCATGAAAAAAATCTCTTTTTTAATAAGCTCCCTTTTCCCTTACATGGGAAAATCATTGTCCCATGGGAAAAGCCATGTCCGTATTTCTGCCCTGGCCGCTTTCTCATTTCTTTCTCATTTAATTTCTTTCTCATTTCTTTCTCATTTCCAGGCCTCTCAGCTCCAGCCTGGACTGCTTTTGCTGTGTTCCCAAGGCTCCAGAACTCGCCCTGGATTGCACACAGCCAGCCCTGTGACATTTCCCCCCAAGGACACAGGATAAATGACAGGATCTGCGTGTTATAGATGCATATTATAACATTGGCTTTTTGCAAATATTAACATAGATTTTATACGTGTGGTGTTAAAGTGACTTTGTTATAAAGATACAGTTTTTATTTCTGCTGTTAATCAAGCTCAGTGAAATAGCTGATATCAGTGTGCTTGTGTTAAAGTGCCTGCTGGGATGGGATAGCACCCAGTGAACACAGGGTGAGGACCCTGCTGTTGATATTGCAATTATCAGCACCCACAGTCTGAGGGCAGTGGGGAGAAAGGCCCAAAACCAGGAGATGATAAGAAAGGACTAAAACCACAACCAAGGAATGTGCGTGCTCTAAGGAGGAGGCAGGCTAAGCAGTTCTTGGAACATATAAACCAGTTTGGGAAAAGTTTACTGTGCATGAGGGTCTATGAATATGCAACAGAAATGGGATATGAAGGGTGTTTCCAAAATAGCAACTTGGCTGAGTGCCGAGATGCACCTGGCCATAATAACCTTTGTTCTGTGGTCCTTGTGCCCTGCTGTCCGTTACTGAACTTTCTGGCTGTTCCCAGGAGAGCGAAGGTGTTTTCACACGCTGTGCTGTGACTCAGGCACCTCACAGGCGCTGTCTGTGTCTGGCAGGTGAGCGGGTGCTGCTGACTGCCACTGCTATTTGTGGCACCCTGGCATTACAGGTGGCAGAGCAGAGCGAGGCCAAGGCACCAGCAGAGACCTCGAGCACCTTCTGGTGTTAAAAACCCAGAGAGGAGAGAAGAACAGCTTTTAGTTCACTTTTTTATTTTGACCGTAATGCAAACAGGCATAAGTATTCCATAAAATCAGAAGATTGGGACTATACAGAGAGGTGCATGCTTCAGAACAACGTGGATATCTTGCAAACAGAGCCAGAGCCAGTCTGAGAGAGGGGCTGGAGCACGGGGGACGAATGGCAGAGATTTTAGCAGCATCGAGAGCTCGGAGGTAGGGGAAGAACCACGTTTCTGGCTGCTTAAAGCACTGGGAGGATCACACACAGCTCGGGTCACCCCACCCCTGCACAAACCTACCCTGGGATCACACAGAAAGCAGCTACAAAAGGAGACCCCCCTGCCCCACACGCAGCTGGGGATGGGAGGCAAAGTGAGAGTGCCAGGCTCAAATCTCGGCATCGTTTCCTCGAGCGGATGAAGGCACAGTGACGTGAGGGTGTGAGGGGAGCAGGGAGCAGCCAGGGCCTGGAGCCCCACACAGCCCAGCAGGATTTACCCACATCTGAAGGGTTTACAATGGAAAATTTGGGAGTTCCCTGCCCCAAAGCTGCCACCTTCCCCAGCCCACTCCCCGTCCTCACCGCTGCTCTTCAGGAAAAGGCCACTGGAAAATGAAAAACTCCAACCCAACCTTTGAGTCTGACACTGAAGGTGCCTGGGGGAGCCAAGGGGATAAATCCCTGCTCCTATTACAAAAATTAATTGGCACTGAATATCAAATTCCCCAGGCAGCCGGCAGAAGTGGTGTTTTTAACTCTGTGCAATCGAAAAAGCGACGAGTCCCGGCTGAAAGTCATCGTGCTCTGCTCATCCTCTGCCTGGGGAATGGTGTGTGCACTCTGCAAAAGCCGCACACTGCTCACAAAGCACACACAGCCCGGGGTTTTTAAAGGCATTTCAAGGCAGCAGAGCATGGGAATTCAACCTTGGGAATTGTGGGGATTTGCCTGTATTGTGGGGTTTTATCAAAGCAGGGATTTTGCACTGAATCTCACTCGCAGGCAGATTCTCCAACCCCATCTCCTGTTCCTGAGCATCCTCTGTGCTGCTGGGAAGTGGCTTTTGTTAAGACAGGATTCCATGCCACGGTCACACGGAGAGGAGAACAAAAAGGCAGGCTCAGAAGCAAGGAGCATTAATGTCTCAGTGAATTAAGGCTGTTTTGTTGCCCTTGATAAATTTTAAAAATCTCCGCCGGCAGTTATTGTAGGAACAAAAAGTTTGATTTTATCCAAATTTGATACACTGGCTGTTTGCTCTCTGTTTGCTTTCCCCACCCCAAAACCAACACATGAAAACAAAGCAGCCAAAAGAAGCCCTGAATTAGCTCCTCTCTTAGACCAACTTTTCCAGTATTTAGCCTTTTAATTTTCCAGGTATTAAGGATGCCCCTGGAAGGAAAATACTTTGCCTGGTGTTTTTGCCTCCCAGATTTCTGCACCAGCCCTGCAGACAGCTGCCCTGCATCCCAGTTCTTGCTTTTCCACAGCTCCAGAACAGCTCTGAAAGCTTTGGATACAAGAGTCTTGCCCAATTCCTCACCACAGCAATGAGGAATAGCTGCAAAACTTCAGCCTACAGGCTCCTGATAAACCAGGAATTCTCAGGGCCAGCCTCACAGGTTTGATTTGCTCACTGCAAGGCGCTTCCTCCCTCCTCCCTCCCCAAAATCTGGCCAGGTAGGACGTGGATGAGTGAGGCAGGAGAGCAGCAGCCCTGGCAGTGAGGTGCTGCCACTGCTCAGCTCTGAGCTCACAACCTCTTGGGGTTTTATTCCTGTGATTCCAGGGTTCAAATTTCCATCACAGCCAAATATCTGCAGGGGTGGAGGCCGGGAATTGCCAGTCTGCTTCATTTTCCCAGCAGGAAAAAAAAAAAAAAAAAGGTGGATCTGCATGGCAATGCTTGGATATGCCACGAGTTTCCCTGGGCCAAACCCAAGCTGATTTTCACCTCTCCTAAATTCTATTTCACCTCTGCAACCAAGTGCTTTAGAGCAGCAGCTTGCTCCCTCTCCCCTGGCTCCCTGCTGAGCACAC